CTACCTCCATCTCCACCACTCCCGCCAACGCTGCCAGAGCCAGCGACCTCAACCGGCGGTCATCCACATCTTCCTCCACCTCTAATATAGACGTTGTTCGAGCCATTCGTTTGAAAAAGGTAAGTTCTTTCCAATAAATCTTTGACTGAAATTCTGAAACTTCAATGGCAGAGTGTTGGGACATGAAGGAAGTCAAATTATGGGTTTGAAATTTGCTTCCTTGAATTCGGTTTTCAAATGGGTTTTAGGTAGAAGAATTGAGGAGCAAAGGTTTGGAGCCATATGCCACCCAGTTGACCCAAATCCCTAATTTGGATAAATTCCCAAATCCTAACTGATTCTTGAGCATTCCTACCTCATGCCAGGAATATGAATCAAAGAATCTTTTATGGGTTATTAATCGAAGAATCTGAATTGAAATATGAAACCAAAAGCAAATCAATTTGAACTAATCTAGAAACAGGAAGGTTTTCGTGCCAGAAATTGAAGTACTAAGCAGAGAGGGATGAAGAATGGAGAAGTTAGGCCATCTCCAACTGAAGGGTCCAGAGGGCCGAAAATAGCCCGAAAATCGTCTCCAACAGAGGGCTAGGCCAGAGGGCTGTGGAATTTGAGAGGGCCCCACGGAATCGAAGAGGGCTGGAGGTGCAGCCAACCAGCCAGCCCGGGGCTGGCCAGAAAAATCAGCTTTCCTGTCGGTTATAACAGATAGGAATTCTTAAAAAGAATTTTGAATCCAATGGCTAGCTAGCGCAAGTAACCGTTGGATTCAATTTTTTTTTTTTTTTTTTTTAAGGTTTTTTGGGCCTTTTTTTTTTTTTTTTTTTAAAAAATTCTTTTTTTTTTCTATAAATACCTAAACCATTCCTCACAAAATTTTCACCATTCCTACACCATTTCAATTCTCATATTTTACTTCCTCTTTCAAAATTCTATCCTTCAATTTTTTTAATAATTTTGAAATGGCCTCGTCTGCAATGAAAGGTAGGGCTTGGACCCGAAAAGAAGATGAAGCTCTTTGCAAGGCTTCTAGATGGGTGTTGGAAGATAGTGTGAGGGGGAATTGTCAAACAAATGACGGTGTTTGGACTCATGTGTCCAAAAAATACTTAGAGTTCTATGAAGGCACCACTTCAGTGAATATTCGAAACCACGAGAGTTGTTCTTCAAGATGGAAGAAACATCTTCAGCCAAGTTTGAACAAATGGCATCAAGCATTGTTAGCAGTCGCAAGTAGACATGAAAGTGGTGCTAATTACTACGACGAAGTAAGTGTTTTTACAATTTATTTTAAATATTTAATTATATTACATTTAATTTCATAAATTAATTTCCTTTAATTTTTTTTAGGTACGCCAAGCAGAGGAATTGTATATGGAGAGCAGCTCGAAACCTTTTCAGTTTCACAGTTGTTGGGAAATTTGTAAGGGGTGGGTGTTATTTGAAGATCCACCACAGAGAGCTCATACACCGATGTTTGGAACTACATCCTCAGCTGCAGATATGGATGAAGATGGATCTCCAACCATTCAACAAACAAGGGTAGAAAATCTGTCTTCGAGTGAAGGTTCCATACCTAGGGCTATGGGACGAAACAAGGCGCGAAGGTTGAAGGAAAAGGGCAAGGCAAATGATGATTACGCCGCTCAACATGAAGTGGCGGCCTCATTGAGATTATTAACGGAGCCAAATGCCCTTGAGACGGAAGAAAGGAAGTGCAGGAATGAAGAATGGGCCAAACAAATACAAGAAGAGATGGATGATAAGAATATGGAAAGGAACACTTCGAATTACACTCCAATGAGTAAGGCCTATTTTGATAGGGAAAAAAAAAAGAAATTATGAGCCGACGGCAGTTGTTTACCTCTGACTATACTCCTACGATGGCGGATGATGAAGATGATGTTGATTATGGATATTAAATTTAAGTTAATGTTGTTTTCGAATTTAATTTGTAGTTTTTAAATTTAATTTGTCGTTTTTAAATTTAATTTGTCATTTTTAAATTTTTGTTGTAGTTTTTAAATATAAGTTGTAGTTTTTAAATTTAAATTGTTGTTTTTAAACTTAAGTTGTTATAGTTTTTAAATTTAAATAATAAATTATGTTTGGCCCTATGGCCCTCGATTGGAGACGGTTTTTTGTAACAGGGCTAAAACGAGACCTCTGGCCCTTTGGTCCTCGGTTGGAGACAGAGGCAAATATGGCCCTGCACTGTTCAGTAAAATGTTAATATCTTGGAGGATCTTGGAGGGCCAGAGGGCTAAGCCATCGGTTGGAGATGGCCTTAGAGAGAGAGGAGAGATCGAACTTCGTCTAGGTTAAATTTATGGGTTGGGGAAGGCTGGTAACCTATAAGGTCATATGCACTCATGACTTTGAAGCTTCTAGACCATGGCGACGAGGTAGGGGTGCAGCTTTCCCATCTCAATCTGTCTAACAAATTTGGAATTTTTTTGAGTTAACTGGGTTTTTGATAAATTTCAGAAATTGGATGGGTTTTTGAATTGGAATTCTTTTGGGTGGGATTTTGTTGGGTTGGGTGTGCGAGGAGGGTGGGTATAGGTTGTAGAGGAAAGAAAAGAGGGTGGTGCAAGTGCAGAAGAGAGAAGTGGGGGAAGGGGTGTGGGTTGCGGAAGAGAGAAGGGAGGGAGAAGGTGTGGGGGAGAAGATGGGTACAACTGTTTGTGTTTTTTTTTTTTTTGTGTTTTTTTTTAATTTTTTAATATTGAAGTAGGCCAACACATGGCGTTTAGTAATTGTCTACATGGGCACCATGTCATCAGTTAACAGAAGTTGTAACGGAAAACTTAACAGATGTATGAGACTGTCCCAAAATTAACACTTTAGGTATGACTCTGGGACGAAAAAATTTTATGTACTAAATGTTGAAAACCATGAAACTTGAGGGTAGTAAACTGAGAATTACCCTAAAATAAAAATTCCCATTGCAGAAGTAAATGAGGACAATACGGGCATACTGAAAGTTTCATTCAAAAAGGGCACTAGGTAGTGGGCACGCGCCCAATAAAATAAAAATTCCACCTCGTTATTTCGAGAGGAAGAGAGGGCAGTATGGCTTCTGATCTCTAAGGCCATCTCCAACCGAAGCGTCCAAAAAGCCAGAGGGCCGAAAATAGCCCGAAAAATGTCTCCAACTGAGGGCTAGGCCAGAGGGCTGTGGAATTTGAGAAGGCCCCACGGAATCGGAGAAGGCTAGAGGGCTACCTGCATGTAGCCAACCAGCTAGCCTGGGGCTGGACAGAAAAACTGGAAATCCTGTCGGTTATAACCGACATGAATACGTTCTTATTATTTAGTATAAATGTATTACTGTCGATTATAACCAACAGTAATACATTTATACTAAATAATAGCAATGTATTCCTGTCGATTATAACCGACAGGAATGCTTTGATTATATTTTTTATTTTTTTTTTACCGTTTTATTATTATTTTTTATTTACAAAAATTTTCCTATAACTTCTATTTTTCATTTTTTTTTCAATTCTATTTTTTTCCTATAACTTTTATTTTACAAAATTTGTTTCATATTTCTTTTTAAATTCCATTTTTTCCTATAACTTCTATTTCACAAAATTTGTTTCATTTTATTTTAAATTCTATTTTTTTAATAACTTCTATTTCACAAAATTTGTTTCATATTTTTTTTTAATTCTATTTTTTTCCTATAACTTCTATTTCACAAAATTTGTTTCATATTTTTTTTTAATTCTATTTTTTTCTATAACTTCTATTTCACAAAATTTGTTTCATACATGTGTTTAGACTTAGGCCATCTCCAACCGAATGGTCCAGAGGGCTAGAGGGCCGAAAATAACCCGAAACCATCTCCAACTGAGAGCTAGTGGGCCCCAAGAGACAAAAAGAGTCGAAGGGCCAACCGGCTGGCCCAACCTAGCCAGCCAACCATTGGATTGGATTTGATTTTTTTTTTTTTTTTTTTTTTCAACCATTGGATTGGATTGGATTGGATTGGATTGGAGGGCTGGCCAGAAAAACTGGAAATCCTGTCGGTTATAACCAATAGGAATGCTTTGATTATTTTTTTTTTTACCGTTTTATTATTATTTTTTATTTACAAAATTTTTCCTATAACTTCTATTTTTCATATTTTTTTTAAATTCTATTTTTTTCCTATAACTTTTATTTTACAAAATTTGTTTCATATTTTTTTTTTAAATTCCATTTTTTCCTATAACTTCTATTTCACAAAATTTGTTTCATTTTATTTTAAATTCTATTTTTTTTCCTACAACTTCTATTTCACAAAATTTGTTTCATATTTTTTTTAATTCTATTTTTTTCCTATAACTTCCTAAGCCATTATACAACATTAAATTAAATTAAGTAACATTAAACAACATTAAACAATATGAAACAACATTAAATAACATTAACCAACATAAAAATTATACTACATAAAAAAATATTTAACAACATGAAACTTCAACAACATTTAAGTTGTAGTTTTTAAATAATAAATTATGTTTGGCCCTATGGCCCTGGGTTGGAGATGGTTTTTTGTGATAGGGCTAAAACTAGCCCTCTGGCCTTTTGGTACTTTGGCCCTCGGTTGGAGACGGAAGCAAATATGGCTTTGTACTGTTCATTAAAATATTAATATCTTAGAGAATCTTTGAGGGCCAGAAGGCTAAAACAAACCTTTTAGTCAGCCATCGGTTGGAAATTGCCTAATAGACCTCAGTAGGATTCGTACGGAAAGTTTCATTCAAAAAGGGCACTGGGTAGTGGGTACCCACCCAATAAAATAAAAATTGCAGCAAATTGACTCTTGAAGACAAAAACAAATAAAAAGACAATTTGGGAAAGTTATTTTGTATGAGAGGTCGGAACAGAAAAGTCAGAGTCGACTACTCGGCATTTTCACTTTCAAACGCGTTCTGCCTTTTACTCGGCACTCGGTTTCTTTGTTTTACAACACCACCTTCGGATCAAAGCACTGCATTGTAATATATGTATATGTTTTATGATGATATATATATATATTGTTGCTGGATATGTATGTTGCAGGCCACAAGTGAGTGAATTGTAGAGCTGCAGCTGCTTGTGCAAATTCCAATCACAGTGAATTTAATCGAAACCCACTGCCGAGTTCATGGCGGCGATCTTCCTGATCAGTTACGAGTTTCAAACTCTGCCTTTTACTCTGAACACGGTTTCTTTGTTTCACCAAACCTTCAGATCAAAGCAGTGCATATAATGCAGGCCACGAGTGAGTGAATTGTAGAGCTGTAGCTGCTTGTGCAAATTGCAATCACAATGAATTTAATCGAAACCCACTGCTGACTTCATGGCGGAGAGTGATCGCGATCATTGTAAGTTTGATATGTTCTATAAAAATGTTTGACTTTTTGCAATTCATTGCAATATGAGTACGTTGATCCAATCCAAGTTCATCTGTGGTTCTTATGTTTTCTTGAAAGTTGTCAATACACACACACACACACACACACACACATGAAATATATCAAAATTTTCAACTTAGATATTTTATTATTTATTGATTATGAATATTTATTGATTATGATATGATTGAATGCAGCAAGTGAAATGGAAGCAAGACTCGACGGGAAACATTATCGATGGCTACGTCCGGAGGAAATATGTGATGTTCTTTGAAATCCTAACGGAGTTACAATTTCTGAGGAGCCTGCAATTATGCCACCAAGTATGACTTTCTGCTGCATTGCATTTGTTAAGAAATATTGTATTGGCTTATTTAACTCGAATTTTCTTTAGCATTTTAAGAATTTGATTTTTCTTTTTGCATCATTCTTAGAAGATTTATTTGGATGTGTATTGAAGATTTCTTTTTTTTTTTTTGGGTATTATTTGTTATCCATGTTTTTTTTTTTTGGTATTATTTTGCTTTTACTGTTGTTGTCTTCGCTTAACACAATAAATGTTGCAGCATATAATCACCAAGCAAGTGATGGGTTTCCCCCTGTTCTTGGATTGCAACATGATATTGCTTCTTCTAGTTCCAATCCAACTAATTTCCAGCATTCACAAGCTACGAATGTGACAAACTTGAATAGTGCTCAGACATCAGAACTCGAAACCACTATATCAGGTGTTTGTTTTACATTGTCAAAATCTTTCTCCAACGAGTTCCTTTTCTTTTAAACAAAACTTGTTGGTTGTTTCCCTTTGTTATTCATTTGGCAGCTTTGCCTTCCATATTTCTCCGGAGTTTTTCATTATTTAACTTGACATTCTATAATGTGCAGATAATTGGCTCAAGAATTTACTTACTGGTATGTGGAATGTGATCCTTTGTTTTATTCATGTAACTTGTTCCAGTGGATCTTTTGAATCTATATTGTCTTTGTCAATACATGAGTTCATTAAATAGCTACTATTTGTTGAATTGGTCAATAAAAAAAAAGACTGAAAAGCTGTTTCATATTTGCACGAAGAGGAAGACACTGAAACCTCTTTCCATAGTTTGTCTAGCCCAAATTCATCAAACTTTGGAGATCATGAACAGGTACTTGACAAGTACCTGTTTCATCATTTAACTTGACATTCTATAATGTGCAGACCCTAATGATCGGGGAATCCCCGAGAATTCATGTATTGGGTTACCTGGTACGTGCAATGTGATCCTTTGTCTTATTCAAGCAACTTGTTCCAGTGTATCTTTTAACTCTATATCGTCTTTGTCAATACATGAGTTCATTAAATAGCTGCTATTTGTTGAATTGGTCAACAACAAAAAACTGAAGAATATGTTTCATATTTGCACGAAGATGAAGACACTGGAATCTGGGTTAAGATTGTGGACAATTGCACGATAATTTTTTTCATTATTTAACTTGACATTTTATAATGTGCAGACCCTAGTGGTTGGGGAATCCTCGAGAATTCATTTACTGGGTTACCTGGTACGTGCAATGTGATCTTTTGTCTTATTCAAGTAACTTGTTCCAATGTATCTTTTAACTCTATATCATCTTTGTCAATACATGAGTTCATTAAATAGCTACTATTTGTTGAATTGGTCAATAAAAAAAAGACTGAAAAGCTGTTTCATATTTGCACGAAGAGGAAGACATTGAAACCTCTTTCCATAGTTTGTGTAGCCCAAATTCATCAAACTTAGGAGATGATGAACAAGTATTTGACAAGTACCTGTTTCATCAAGTACTACTTTTCTTTTATAATCATTTTGGTGATTTGGTGAACTAAACTTGTTTGTTCCTTTAGTGTGAATGTACTAGCTCTGTTAGTTTTGTAAAAAGCTCAGTCAAAGCACATCATGTGGAGCACATTTGGGCTTTGTTTTAACGGTTTTTCACCACTCCATAACCCCTAGATGACTTGAGATAAGAATTATGTTTACTACAACTCGTGTACACATATCTTTTGCTTCCATGAATTACGGATTCACCCAGCCACCATCAGATCGCCTCTTGAGTTTTCCTTGATACTTTTAAGTAAAACTTGTTACCTTTTAAAAATCCATATCGTCTTTGTCAACACATGAATTCGTTCAAATAGTTACTGTTTGTTGAATCAGATTGCAAAGAAAGAGAGGTTGAGGAAGCTGTTTCTTCACGTTTTTGTCATACGTTGTCTGTGTTTTTCCAATAAACTTCAAGATTTTGGTGATTTGTTTAACAAAACTTGTTGGTTGTTTCCCTTTGTTATTCCTTTGCCTGCTTTGCCTTCCATATTTCTCTGGAGTTGTTCATTATTTAACTTGACATTCTATAATGTGCAGACCCTAGTGATTGGGGAATCCCCGAGAATTCATGTACTGGGTTACCTGGTACGTGCAATGTGATCCATTGTCTTATTCAAGCAACTTGTTCCAGTGTATCTTTTAACTCTATATCATCTTTGTCAATACATGAGTTCATTAAATAGCTGCTATTTGTTGAATTGGTCAACAACAAAAAACTAGAGAATCTGTTTCATATTTGCACGAAGATGAAGACACTGGAATCTGGGTTAAGATTGTGGACAATGGCACGATAATTTTTTTTTCTTTTGTTTTGTACTTTTTTTTCCCTATGCTCACAAAGTTTAATCCATTATTATTTTGATGCAGCCTGCACCAACTCGAGAGCCGGCTCGAGTGCTGCGGTGCAGCCAAGTCATTCATCTCTTGGAACAAGGCAATGTGGTAAATTCTCAAGTTGCAACATTACAAAAACTGCGTTGATTTTTTCTCATTCATACACTTAATTCCTAAAGGCAGTCTCTAAATAGTTTCTTAGTTGAGGGTGATGACTTATTTCTAGATTCCACTAACTCCAAGGCCACACCCCTTGCAACCATGGAAGGAGTAGATGAAGAGGAAGAGGGAAACGATACAAACCAATCGTGGAAGAGACTCAAAGTCACTTGTGGCCAGAAGGTAGACTCAGCCACCCAAAGTCACTCGTGGATGAAACCCCCAATTATTTCATGTTCCAAAACTAACATTCCTTGTTTCTCGTTACAGAATGCGACTCAAATTCCTTCTCTTACTATTGTCTTCCTTCATTTCTAAACTTCTGACAATATTTTGTTTTGGTGGCTCAAAAGTCGATTGCTACTTCTGTTGCTCCTGAGTCTAGCACTCCAGCCATGCTGCAATCAAGACCAACCTCAGATGCCAACCAAGATTTTGAGGTAAACACTATTTCATCTTAGATTTGTAGTGTGTGCGCGTATGTTTTTTTTTTTTTTAAATCTTTTGATCCGTCTTTATTTGAACCTTTTTGTTAACAAATCTGTTTGAACATAGAATCAAGAGCAGGAACTCGAGCCTACCTCTATTGAGCCAGAAAATGGCAAAAGCAAGGTTGTCGTTCAAAATGATTTTGGGTCAGGAAAGGTACGTACACAACTTTCTTTAATTCGACGTCCCTTAGGTCTTGTCAAATTTGAAGGTAAAACATGGATTAGAAAATAGTAGAATTTGGAGGGATAAGTTTACTTCAAAACTAAACTATCTTCTAGCTTCAACTTGGACATAATTTGGAAGTTGGCATCCATGTCTTCGTTTGACATACATCGTATATATCTATTCCATTCCAGTCCTTGACACTAGCTTAACGAGGCCTTAATAGTTTTCTCCAACGTCTTTCTATTGTAGAGTCATGAGTTTTCAGAAGTTGCAGTTTGGGACTCCTATAAAAGCCTCCTTGAACTTTTAGGCCGAGGGTTTGCACCCAATACACTGGCCAGCTCCTCCATTTCTACTCCTGCCACAGACTCGCAAGCCATAGAAACAATTAGAACTTTTCTAGAAATGGACTTTGCTACTATGGCTGGCAATGTTAAACAAGCCAACATGATTTCACACATCAAGAGACTCGTAGTTTCTAGTTGGTTTCCCTCTGACAGCAAAACATGCATTTTGCCATTATTGGAGCAGCTAGAGCAACCTATTCGAGACTATTCCGAGTATGATAAGGGCAAAAAATTGAATGCCCAAGTCGAAGATATGAGAAAGCTTCTTGAACTTAAGGTTCCGTTTTGTGATAGCAAGATGAGAGACTATCAAAGACTTGAGAATGAGAGAAAGCAAATTGTAGCCAAGCAGGTTGTACTATGTGCTGAAGTTGGTGGCGCCGTCAAAGAGACTGAACGGAACCAGGCAGAACTCAATGAATTGCTCCCACAGCGAGACCAATTTAAACAAAATGAGGCTAAACTCAAGACCAGCTTGGTTATTGGAGCTGGCTACTGGACAATCTTGAAGAAAGTAATTTTCAACAACCTTGGTCTGTGACTTCCTTCTTTGGGTTGCATTTGGGCTGCAGTGTTTTTTTAATTTTCCTTTTCTTTTTGGTGGTGTATCTTAACAAATTCGATCCATAATATATCAAAATGAAGATTTTTTTTCTTTTCCTTTTCTTTTTGGTGGTGTATCTTAACAAGTTCGACCCATAATATATCAAAATGAAGATAGGAAAGTGTAGAACAAGATTATACCTATTTGAAAGCCCAAGGGTTGCCAAAGATGGCAGGAAAATAGCTTGAAAGATGACTGGTCCGTGGAAAAATTGGAAAACTCGTTAGAAACTAGGTAAACTTTAAACGTTCATAACTTTTTCAATACTCAACGAAATCGAGTGATTCCAAAGCGAAATTCATACTTCTCGATGGCACGAAGAGAATGGTACCTTTCTCGACGGCTTATGGGTACAAACTTATTCTAATTTTTTATTTATTTTGGAATGTTTTGGAATTGAAAATTAGTTAGGAGTTTAATAAAGGTTTGTGTATTAAAATTATAAATCTATTATTAATTTTTATTTTAAAAAATTATGTAACCAATATGTAAATTCATTATTACATTAATGCTAGGGATTTGGATCACAATCTGAAAACTAATAAGGTTTCAGTTAATGAACATTAGTAATTAGAGACCAGATGCTAACTATATATTATGCTCTCAAAGTTTAAGATGATATTTAAATTAGGTCATTAAATTTTAATTTTTTCAAATTGTTTCTTAAAGTTTTGAAACTATATCAATTTACACTTTTTGTAACATTAAATGTCTATTATACAATAAATTGATGAGTTTTTAGGTTTTATGTGCAAATGTGGCTTACATGTCAATCTAGTTACGGATTTTATGCTCACCATGTCATCAAATTAATGAAGATTTAGTTAATTCATTACACAAAATGTGTAAATTGATACCTTTTCAAAATATTATGGTGCAATGTAATAAATTAAAATCTGATGACCCATTTTGAAAATCACGCAAAACATAGAGGGTGCAAAATATAAATAGCCAATAGAAAATGAAAAGCTTTTCCCAGATGCAAAATGTAGTTCACCAAAAAGAAAACAAAACCCAATTGAAAATGAACGTTAAAAAAATGAAAAAGCTTTACAACCCAAAATTTTCTTGGTTTTTATAATTTCATACATCATGTTTTTTAATCCCAGTCAGGTATCTAAAGTGATAATTCTAGAACACTTTCATACATTCGTTAAGTTTTCTTTAACTTGTAACGTAACCCCCAAGTGGACAATGATTAGGCGCCGCAGTCAATCTGAATCCACGTAGATATTAAAAAAAAAAATTAAATTTAAAAAGTAAAAAAAAATTTAAAATTTAAAAAAAAATTTAGTAAGCCAAAAGAAGAATAAAGGATAAAACCATCTTCAACTCTTAGATTAAAACCTAAATTTTCTAGATCAAACTTAGGGCTGGGTTCGATTCAAAATGGTTTGGTTTTTTGCCAAAACCAAAACTTCTGCGATTTGGTTCACTTCGGTTCATTTTTTTTGTTTTTCTTTTTTGTTCGGTTTAATTTTGATTTGGTTTTTTCTTGTTCAGTTACATTTTTTTTTTTCGAATTTTTTTTGTTTTTGAAAATTGAAATTTTAACATCTCCAACATAATCATAAAATAAGCATTGCAAATTTCCAACATTGAAATCTAAAATTTTAACATCTCCAACACAATCATAACATAAGCATTCCAACACAATGAAAATAAACATTTAAAGTTCAACTAGAATCATCAATCAAGTCTTCCAAAGTCCAAACTTCAAAAAAAAAAAGTTTAAAAAAAAACAAATTCAAAGTTTAAGTCTTCAAAAGTCCAAATTTAAAATAAACATCACATTTCAAATATCCACACCTAAAATAAACATAACAAAGTCCAAACTTTAAAGAAATATTCCACTTAACTAAAATCATAACAAAGTCCTTCAAGGTTTCATGTCTTACACTCGCTTTTCTCTTCAAGCCCTCAAGCTCAACGCTTAGTCGGCCTATGAGGAAACATAGTACCTTTCCTTGAACTTCCAATTGCCATTTCTACATACAAATAAAAAAAGAAGGAACATGATGTAATGCAAGTATGCAACATAACATCTAATTTAAATAAGGTTTTTTTAATCAAAATGGTCCTTGAGATTGTCCACCATCCATTATTTTGGTCATTCCGTTACAAACTCTGTTAAATGCCCCAAAGCTCTTGGCCAGAATGTTAAGCAATTTTCAAAGTTTTGTAACTCAATCGTTTCTTAACCAAATTTGACACATACTATATCAAAATGAAAGGAAAGTTTAGAACAAGATTATAACTATTTAGAAGCCCAATGGTTGACAAAGATGGTCGGAAAATAGCCTGAAAGGTGACGGAGATGTTGGAGATGGCCTGAAATTGATGAGTTTTTAGATTATGATATATTATGGTAAAAACACATGAAAGATCATGCATCCAATGATTGTGGACCTAATAATCTTGCACTCAACACCGAATACCTAAATGTCATCAAACCAAAGTAAACTTTCATTTAACTAAGTTCTTAGCACTTCAGTTCAATCTTAAGTTAAAAAGAGTAGTTCAATTGACTAAAATTACACAAAAGGGAGAAAGACAGAACACAGAATCGTGGAAATGTGTACTGTGATACTGATCCTGCAAGTTAAATATGAAAAGTGTAAAAGCTCAAATTATCCTTAGCATCAGTAGATTAACAATGAAAAGAAGAAAACTTGTGTATGTTTACATTTAGTATAACATGAATATGCACGTGCATAGTAAATACCAAGCAGAAAGTATTACCAGTAAATTAGATTCAACACAACATAGAGAACAATTCGACTACTATATGTGTAACTCTATAAACTCCTTACCACATCAATCTTGAGAGGTCCAAAAAGTCTAAAAGTCTCAAAAACTTATCCATATTCAGCTCCAATCGCCTGAAAACACCAAAAAACTGAGTGGTAAATATAAATTCATCAAAATTCCTTATTCAAGGATAAGTTAAAAATGGAAAAGATTCAAATCCCAGAAACTGTTTGGTAAGATCCAAGAAATTCTATCGCAGCTGAAATTTTCATTCTTAGATTGCATGGACAACCCTTTTTGTTTTGGTAAGATCCTAGAAATTCTATAGCGGCTGTAAATTTTCATTTTGCACCTTAACTCATGCCATCCAACATCAAAAGCACACAATCATATCTTTTACCCACTATATCATGCAAGGATGATTTGCATACTGGTCCATTTAAACTTATACAATAGTTCTCCCAGTGAAATTTGCTTAAGTAATCCAAAAATCTATAAAGGACCTATAGAAATGAAAAGTAATTAAGTTCTTAAACTTATATATGTATCGGAAAGAAGGATTCAAAATTGACTTGGGAGTACTCACTGCCAGAGGGCCATCCAGTGACGAATGGAAAAGGAACATGCATTGCTGTGTAAAAAAGGAACATGCATTGTTGTGGTGTGGCAAAAAGGAAAATTTTTCGGGTTCTAGCAGAAACCTATACAGAAGAAATTAAATAGCAAAAAGGAAAAATATTGGGAACTCTTCACTCAATTCCAAAATGTGGGTTTCAAAGTTACGATCTACATTTGTCAAAAGGAAGAGAAATAATACAATTTCCTATGTAGCTAATTACTTATAAACCCTAACCCAAATTACAGGATAGGGATGGTTCAGATTAATATGCAGCAAAAAAAAAAAATGGAATAACAGATAACAGAGAGCTAGAATTAGAGGTTTGGCATTTCTCACTTTCCTTTTTACATTTTGATTTTCCTTTCCAATTTTTTTACTTCCTTCTTTCTGTAATTTCACACACACACACACACCCACCCAGAATACTTACCTTTGTAATGGCTGTCGACTATGGGGATGGCGAGGCGGGCGAGTGCACAACGATGGGTCTGTGGGGCTGCGAGGCGCTGCAAGGCTGCGGGGCTCCCAGCTACAAGAGTAGAGGCTGAGATATCATAGAACGACACAAATGAGGGAGTGATGGCTGAGATATCAAAGAACGACATAGGTGAGGGAGTGAGTCTGACTTAGTGAGAGAGGTGTGGGGGTGGAAAACTCTCCTAGGGTTAATAGCATAGCCAAAAAACGACATTAACTTAAGGGTAAAAACGACATTTGTGCATATAAAGGGTAAAACGACGTTGTTTTATACACACTTCGGTTCAGTTCGATTTCTAATCCCCAAAAATCGAAATCGAACCAAACCATTTAGGTTAGGTTCGGTTTTTTTTTTGGTTTTCGGTTTTTTATCCCACCCTTAGTCAGACAATTTATGTCTTAACCCAAAAACAGCTTCTTTGCTCCAACCCTTCTAAGTTAAATTTTTAGCCAAGATTATAAAAAAATGAATTAAGGCTAATTTATTTTATGTAAACTATTATGTAGACTATCCTAATTTATTTTATGAGCACTTTAACCTAAAAATATTTAGATTTTGATAAATATTGAAAAATTACTAAACCCACACATATGAATAGACAAGTCTTTTGTCTAGTGCTCACATATCTAGATTCCTTTGATGTCTCCAAATCCTAGACCACACCGATGACTTCATTTGACGCCGGAAGTTGTCGGATCTTCATCGCCTGTGGTGATCTAGCGGAAGAGGACGTAGGTGTTGTGGGTAACTCATGTTATTTTTTATAGGGCTAATCCCAGTTTACTACCTTGAATTTTTTTGGTTTTTAACATTTGGTACATCAAGTTTTATTCGTCCTAATTTGGTACCTAAAATCATAATTTTAGGACATTTTCATATATCCGTTAAGTTTTTCATCAGAACCTTTGTTAATTGATGATATGGCGCCCACTTAGATCATGACTAGACGCCACATGTCAAAACAATAAACAATTAAAATTGGTACATTTCACATATAACAAAAGTGGTACATTAATAAAGAAGAATGGGTACATTATAAATAAATTAGGGTACAGATAAAAGATTAAAAAAATTATGAGTACAAATGAATTTTTAAAAAATATTTTAATACATGGGTACAAAATAAAACTAAAAAGAAAATATCACAAATTAAAAAAAAATGTTGCAAATTAAAAGTGGGTACAAACTAGAAATATAATATATATGATACAAAGTTTAGGCATAAAACATAAATATACAATATGTAATTTTTCTATCATTGATTAAATATACAATGTCATGTGAAGGTGTACACATGGGTACAAACACAAATAAAACTTTAAAAAATATGGGCACAAAAAGAAACTAATATATGGGTACAAATTAAAAATGAAAAGAAAATTTGTTGTATCCCACATCGCCCGTGAGGGCGTGGTCTTTGGGCCTTATATATCCATTGCCAACCTTAAGTTTCAGTGAGGCCTTTTGCGGACTCCCTGAGGGGAGGGCAGGCGCTGGCTACGGCTGAGTACCGGTCCGCAGGAACAAAACCGTGCGGTAGCTCTGTCTGCGGGCAGAGAATGCCAAAGCGGACAATATCACTGGAGCTGAGGGTTGGGATGTGACAATTTGGTATCAGAGCCAGACTCACGGTCGTGGTGTGCCGACGAGGACGTCGGGCTCCCTAAGGGGGGTGGATTGTTGTATCCCACATCGCCCGTGAGGGCGTGGTCTTTGGGCCTTATATATCCATTGCCAACCTTAAGTTTCAGTGAGGCCTTTTGCGGACTCCCTGAGGGGAGGGCAGGCGCTGGCTACGGCTGAGTACCGGTCCGCAGGAACAAAACCGTGCGGTAGCTCTGTCTGCGGGCAGAGAATGCCAAAGCGGACAATATCACTGGAGCTGAGGGTTGGGATGTGACAAAATTGGTACAAATTAAAAAAATATTTGCAAATTAAAAATAGGTACAAACTAAAAATAAAAATATATGATAAAAAATTTAGCCATAAATATAAATATACTAATTGTAACATTTTTAACACTAAAGGAATATATTTTAAAAATAAAAATATTTTATTATTCAAATAATTAATGATGTTATTAATACCCAAGGACCTTAATCAAAAATTGAAAATAAATAAGATTTTAAACAATGAGGTAACAAAAAGAAGAATGTGAACTTAATTTCTCCTTATTTTTTTTTCTTCCAGAAACAAGGGTAAACTCGGAATATTAAAGACAAACAAATAAAAAGACAATTTGGTGCTTCGATTGATTTTTTTTTTTTTTGTCGGGTGCTCCGATTGATTTGATGCGGACAAATTATTTTGTATGAAAAGTCTGAACAAAAAAGTCAGAGTTGGCTACTACTCGGCATTCACTCTTTAATACTCGGCAATCCCTTTTAAGCGCGTTCTGCCTTTTACTCGGCACTCGAGCCTTATTTTGTGTGAGAAGTGAACAGAAAAGTCAGAGTATGCTACTCGGCACTTTCACTTTTAAACGCCAATCGAAACCTTTCTTGATCAATTTGGAGTTCCAAACTCGCCCGTTTACTTGGAACTCGGTTTCTTTGTTTCACAAAACCTTCAGAACAAAGCACTGCATTATATATTGCAGGCCATGAGTCAGTGAATTGTAGAGCTGTAGCTGCTTGTGCAAAATTCCAATCACACTGGTTCATCAAAAAATTCCAGTCACACTGAATTTAATCGAAACCCGCTGCTGACTTCATGGCGGAGAGCGATCGCGATCATCGTAAGTTTGATATGTTGGATAAAAATGTTGACATTTGGCAATTCATTGCAATATGAGTATGTTGATCCTGTAAGAGTTGAATAATTTTTTTTTTTTTTTTTACGGATATTTACTTGTGTTCGTAAATATATTTTGATCCAAGTTCATCTGTGGTTCTTATGTTTTCTTCAAAGTTGTTAAGAAATATGTCATCGAGTATGACTTTCTGAGAAGCCTGCAATTACGCCACCAAGTACGACTTTCTGCTGCGTTGCATTTGTTAAGAAATATTGTATTGGCTGATTAAACTCGAATTTTCTTTAGCATTTTAGGAATTTGATTTTGCTTTCTGCATTCATACACTATATTTCATAGAGGGAGACTCTATATAAATAGTTTCTTAGCAGAGCGTGATGACTTATTTCTAGACTCCACTGCCTCAGAAGAAGGAAAGTCCAAGGCTACACCCCTTGGAACCATTGAAGAAGTTGTCGTGATGAGCTCCCATGAAAGACTTCATGAACTTTTAGACCGAGCGTCTGCATCCAATACACTGGCCAGCTCCTCCATTTCTACTCCTACTTCAGAAATGGACATTGCTATGATTTTGGTTGGTTCTAATTACTTTCCCACCGACATCGGACTAATGATTTTGGCAGTATTGGAGCAGCTAGAGCAATCTGTTCTAGCCTACCCCGAAGCCTATCCTGAGTATGATATGGCCAAAAACTTGAGTGAACAAGTCAAAGCTACGAAACAGCTTCTTCAACCTAAGGTTCAGTTTTGTGGCAGCAAGGAGAGAGAATTTCAAGACCTTGCAGAAAAGAAATTCTGGATTGAAGCCAGGCAGGCCGCAATAGTTGCGGAAATTCACGGCGCCATCAAAGAGACTGAACCGATCCAGGCACAACTCGAGAAATTGCTCCTGCGGCAAGATCAATTTAAAGAAAATGAGGGTAATCTCAAGACCATCTTGGATATTGGAGATGGCCTCTGGACAACCTTGAAGAATATAATTCACCCCCACCTCCCTACGTGACTTCCTTTCTTGGATTGCATTGGGGCTGCAGTTCTTTTTCCATTTCTTTTTGGTGTTGTTTTGGATGGTGTTCCCAGTACACTTGAAAAATCATGTTTAAGCCGTATTTTGGTCCTTTGAACTTTAATTGAAGTACTTTTATATTATATGACTTTTTTAGATTGTCACTAACGAGTGCATTTGCTTTGTCAACCCTGTATTTCTATTTTTTACTCTTGTAATCTCTCATTTTTGTTTGAGCCGAAACGGAAGGATGAGGTTATAATTAGTATCTAAATGTATGACAACGATAAAGAAAAATTGGTTTTGATGGATGTATAAAATCAGCAATAACCTAGTTTTCTTTATAATAATTTATTTAAAATTTGGTCATGTCAATTTTTTTTTATTTCAATCGTGGTTAATGTTTAGGAAAGTTGGATATAACTATAGGTTCGACTCTGAGAGATTCTTTGTTAAAAAATTTTGCCCCAACTATATATTATGCTCTCAAAGTTTAAGATGATATTTAAATTAGGTCATTAAATTTTAATTTTTTCAAATTGTTTCTTAAAGTTTTGAAACTATATCAATTTACACTTTTTGTAACATTAAATGTCTATTATACAATAAATTGATGAGTTTTTAGGTTATATGTTGCAAATGTGGCTTACATGTCAATCCAATTACGGATTTAATGCTCACCATGTCATCAAATTAATGAAGATTTAGTTAATTCATTACACAAAATGAGTAAATTGATACAATTTCAAAATATTGGGGTGCAATGTGACAAATTAAAATCTGATGACCCATTTTGAAAATCACGCAAAACATAGAGGGTGCAAAATATAAATAGCCAATAGAAAAAAAAAACACCAATAGAAAATGAATGTTTAGAAAATGGAAAGCTTTTCCCAGTTGCAAAATGTAGTTCACCAAAAAGAAAACAAAACCCAATTGAAAATGAATGTTAAAAAAATGAAAAGGCTTTACTACCTAGAATTTTCTTGGTTTTCATAATTTCATACATCAAGTTTTTTAATCTCAGTCAGGTTTCTAAAGTGATAATTATAGGACCTTTTTATACATCCGTTAAGTTTTCTATTAAAATAGTCATTAACTTGTGACATAACCTCCATGTGGACAATAACTAGGTGCCGCGGTCAATTTGAGTCTATGTGGATATTAAAAAAATTTTAAAATTTTAAATTTTAAAAAAGCAAAAAGAAGAAGAACGGATAAGATCATCTCCAACCCTTAGGTTAAAACCTAAATTTTCTGGGTCAGACATAGGGCTGGGTTCGGTTTTTTTGCCAAAATCGAAACTTTGGTTCGGTTCGGTTTGGTTCATTTTTTTTCTTTTTTTTTCAGTTTGGTTTAATTTCGCTTCGGTTACGTTTTTTTTTTTTTTTCAATTTTTTTTTTTTTTTGAAATTTGAAATGTTAACATCTCCAATATAATCATAACATAAGCAATCCAAGTTTCCAACATTGAAATCTGAAATTTTAACATCTCCAACACAATCGTAACATAAGCATTCCAACACAATGAAAATAAACATTTAAAGTTCAACTAGAATCATCAATCAAATGTTCCAAAGTCCAAACTAAAAAAAAAAAAAAAAAATCAAAGTTTATGACACGCCCTGACCTCGATATTCCCCGAATATCAGGATAGCACGTGCTGGCCGACACCCGAGGGTGACGAAAGCCATTTATTGAGTGTAAAAACTGAAAACAAAGGATAAATAAGGTTTATAAATATAAAAGAATAATGAATATGTATTTAAGGAACGTGTTCAGAGCATACAACCAACTAGAACACTAAAAGAAATAATATAAAATTGAATGAAACAAAGGAGTGGGTCCTACACCAAGAGGACTCGAAGATGCCGATGCGGAAGTGCCTGGACGTCGGGATTGTATGCCTCGATTCTAAGTCCTGAAGGGGGCGCAAAACAAACATGAGTGGACCAAGTTGATATATATATGATAAAACAGTTATCAACGTACTAACCCCCAAGTTTTATGAAAACACAAATATAATGATAAACATAGGTTTTCCGAAACCTAGCATGTCGTGCAATATCTCAAATCATAACATGTAAATATAATAAACACTAGTGAATGTCCGATACAATTCTCCAGGCCCCATGCCGACTCCCCGTCTCTGAGCAGACAGTCAGAGGAAAATACACTTCAGGCCCCATGCCGGCTCCCCGTGTGATATCCCGTCCCTAAAATTATTATTTTATTTTATTCTTGACGTATCTCGAAGATTTGATTGGAACTAGTTCTTTATTTCTCCAAAATTGAGAAAAACGAAGTGAGGGTTACTTTAGTCATTTCCAATTTTCTCAACCTTTTCGGTCCACTCTTGAATTGGTTAGGTAGAGTTCGATTCCATGAGCGCGTAGGCGTAAACAGATCTTATTTTCGAGTCGAAACGGAAAAGTTAGAGTCGTTTGAAGTTGGTGGCATTTTGGTAATATTACCAAATTGCTATAAATTAAATGGGAGGGAAACCTCCAGAAGGGAGGGAGTTTTTTTTTCGGAAAAATGGGGGGGAAGAGCTGCCTAACCCTTTTTAGGGAGAAATTGACCCATAAACCCACAAAACTTGACCCGCTTGTATCTTTTTCATCCGAGCTCCGTTTTGGATGATCTTGGTGTCCATGGAAAGCTCTTGGCGAGCCCTACATCTCTGTGATTTTAGATTTCCCCATTTCTTTTCTATCTTTGCAGCTCGAGGTCGCAAAGTCCACGACTTTTCCGGTGGTTTTATCATTTTTCCGGCGATTCCGGTAATGATTTCCTTCGAGTGAGGTATGAAACTTCATCTACTCTTCATAATCTTCAAGTGGGTATGCTTAGTTTGTGCTTTCGTATTATTTTAGAGTTGGGTGTTTAGAACTCTAGAAATCCGGTTTTCTCCTGTGGAATTGGACGGTTTCCGGTTAGAATTTATCGTCGGCCTAGTTGTGAAAAGTGTTTCCCTTGTTGAGCTGTAGCTACCACGTAAATTTGAGCTCATCTGGTTAATGTTGAAATTCGGGGTTTCTAAACCCTCCATCTTGACTTCCACCGCGTGTGGCGGTGTGTGGGATCGTTCACGAGTGTTATCTAGGCTTTAAATACCTTCTAGTGACCATGTGAACCTATGTCTAGCTTGGTTTCCAAAGATTCAATTGTTGGGTGTGGTGATCAATTTGGACCGCCACTTGTTTGTGTGACTGACGACAATCCGACCATTGGAGTATAATGGAACCTTAGTATGTTATTCTCGAAGCATAGTGTGGACTTTGGGAAGTTATGGATCATAAATCTGAGTTGCAGATTGTTGTGGACCCCATCATTGACCGAGGGTTGAATTATGGTCAACGTGTCTTGGAACGTTCTAAATAATAAATTTAGTACTATGGGAGACTTAAGTGAAGTCTGGTGGACCTACATTGGTTAGAGAGTGACTTGAACATATGTGATATGGTTATTACCTTGATTTCTTATTGGTATCATCTGTGAATTTGACTTGGTCTTATAATGTGATTCTATTGAAATGTGATTATCTATATACACTTAGCCATAGACCTATGTTATCAAACATGATTTGGCTTGTGTACTGATGATGATTGTGATATGTGAATTGACGTGCATATTCGAAGGGTGGTTGATTTACATAAATGGTATGATATGATGAAATGTGAGTGACTTTAATATATGTGAATATGAAATGGTTTTATAATCTTTTTTTTTCCTATAAATTGTTAAGTTTCAATTTTAGCCAATGATATAGTTATATGAAATGAGATTTGACGTGCATATTGGAAATATGGTTTGTTTTGTATGATTGGCTTGATTTGATGAGGTGAGGGCTAGTGGTGGGCCGTTAACCCATTGTCATAGGGTTTGTTGCTTTGAAACATGTGTCGATGCTCGTTTCATTATTTCATTTCTTGTTTCGTTGAGCCTTTATAACTTGAGCAACTTGATTCATGTGTTGTTTCATTGATTGGTGGTTATGCAATGTACTCTGCGATTCCGTTGAGTGATGGTCCGGAATCGTATCCTGGTTTGGATTCCGTTGAGTGATGGTTCGGAATCCTTCCTACTCCACTCCGCGATTCCGTTGAGTGATGGTCCGGAATCGTATCCTGGTTTGGATTCCGTTGAGTGATGGTTCGGAATCCTTCCTACTCCACTCCGCGATTCCGTTGAGTGATGGTCAGGAATCGTATCATAGGTTGGGTTCCGTTGAGTGATTGTCAGGAATCCCTCTTACTCTGTGATCCCATTGAGTGATGGTCCGGGATTGTATCCACCTTAGTTCATTAAGTTTAGTTTGAGATGGTTGCAAAGGTGTAAGCTTTGGATGAACTGTGTCGCTCTAATTTTACTTTCATTGTGTGTATGTGAATATGGGTGTGAGATGTTATGGTTGTTTGAAATGAACTTTTGGATGTCTGGGTGACTCCCTCGTTGTTTTCAAAAATTTGGTATTGATTTCTTATGAAAGATTTATATTCAAGGTTTATAAATTATGATTGATGGTTGGTTTTATTATTGTATCACATGCTTATTTTATTGTCCCTCACCCGAGCCTCTCAGCTTATCTGAGTGCCTGATTTGCCAGTGCACCAATTCCATAATATTGGCATTGACTTTACATATGATAGGTCTGGGTAGATTATGAGAAACCGCTTGATATTTTGATTCCGTTGAGTGGTCCAGAACCCAATGTTGTTGGATTCCGTGAGTGGTCCGGAATCCTTGCTCTTGTTCATTCCGTTAGGTGATCTTAGAATCCTAAATTCGAGTAGATGGGAATTACCCACAATAGATATTGTGAAAATAAATTAGAATTACCAGGTTATTATTCTTAACCCAAATTGGGAATTATGTAGAGTTCTTTAATTAAATTCGTGAAATGATATGTTATCTCACTGATTGATTAACGTAATTAAATATTAATATTGTACTTCGTGATTCCTTGATATGTTACAAGCTATGTATTGAGATATAATGTTGGAAGTATAGTGATTAGTATGATGAAGTGAAAAGTGATTTGACTTGTGTATTGGAAATGGTTGTGACCTGTAATTGAAACGCATATTAAATTGCTTGGGAGATGTGAGGTCTAGTAAATGACCGATGACCCATTGTGATG